CATGTGTTGGAGTTCTCCCCGGTGAATGAGAGGGTCGCGTCCCTCCGCTTACTGGTGGGGGACAAGTCTCTCACTGTTGTGATTAAACGTCAGTGCAAGGTACCTGGCCTTCTTGGAGTCCCTGTCCCTCAACGCCAATGTGGGAAATGGCAGTGACACTTGGAGAGGGGTGATCGGGAAGAACGGCCCCCCTCATCTCACCCAGAGCGGTGTTCAGTTGTTGGACTTCTGTGCCAGTCACGGTTTGTCCATCACAAACACCATGTTCCAGCACAAGGGTGTCCACCAGTGCAGGTGGCACCAGGACACCCTAGGCCGGAGGTCGATGATTGACTTTGCCATTGTATCATCTGACCTTCGACCGGGTGTCCCAGACACTCGGGGAGGGAGGCAGAGCTGTCAACCGATTTTTAGAGTTTTTAAACATAATTTCAAGGGCTGAGCCCCATAGCCCTCAGGTAGTACTATTATTTAAAAGTGGTTTGGAGTAAATGGGTCAAATGCCCTAAAAGCTATTGAAGAAAAACTGGTATTTTTAACCAAATAAATCATTTAAAAATGTTAAAAGCTTTTAAGAACAATTTCAAGGGTTGAGCCCCATAGCCCTCAGGTAGTACTATTATTTAAAAGTGGTTTGGAGTAAATGGGTCAAATGCCCTAAAAGCTATTGAAGAAAAACTGGTATTTTTAACCAAATAAATCATTTAAAAATGTTAAAAGCTTTTAAGAACAATTTCAAGGGTTGAGCCCCATAGCCCTCATTTAGTACTATTATTTAAAAGGGGTTTGGAGTAAATGGGTCAAATACCCTAAAAGCTATTGAAGAAAAAACTGGTATTTTTAACCAAATAAATCATTTAAAAATGTTAAAAGCTTTTAAGAACAATTTCAAGGGCTGAGCCCCATAGCCCTCAGGTAGTACTATTATTTAAAAGTGGTTTGGAGTAAATGGGTCAAATGCCCTAAAAGCTATTGAAGAAAAACTGGTATTTTTAACCAAATAAATCATTTAAAAATGTTAAAAGCTTTTAAGAACAATTTCAAGGGTTGAGCCCCATAGCCCTCATTTAGTACTATTATTTAAAAGGGGTTTGGAGTAAATGGGTCAAATACCCTAAAAGCTATTGAAGAAAAAACTGGTATTTTTAACCAAATAAATCATTTAAAAATGTTAAAAGCTTTTAAGAACAATTTCAAGGATTGAGCCCCATAGCCCTCAGGTAGTACTATTATTTAAAAGTGGTTTGGAGTAAATGGGTCAAATGCCCTAAAAGCTATTGAAGAAAAACTGGTATTTTTAACCAAATAAATCATTTAAAAATGTTAAAAGCTTTTAAGAACAATTTCAAGGGTTGAGCCCCATAGCCTTCATTTAGTACTATTATTTAAAAGGGGTTTGGAGTAAATGGGTCAAATGCCCTAAAAGCTATTGAAGAAAAACTGGTATTTTAACTAAATAAATCATTTACAAATGTTAAAAGCTTTTAAGAACAATTTCAAGGGCTGAGCCCCATAGCCCTCAGGTAGTACTATTATTTAAAAGTGGTTTGGAGTAAATGGGTCAAATGCCCTAAAAGCTATTGAAGAAAAACTGGTATTTTTAACCAAATAAATCATTTAAAAATGTTAAAAGCTTTTAAGAACAATTTCAAGGGCTGAGCCCCATAGCCCTCATTTAGTACTATTATTTAAAAGTGGTTTGGAGTAAATGGGTCAAATGCCCATTGCCGGCAGTAAGTCAGACCTGTTCCCGGTGAATGTTGGCCTCCGACAGGGCTGCCCTTTGTCACCGGTTCTGTTCACTGTATTTATGGACAGAATATCTAGGCGCAGCCAGGGGTCGGAGGGGGTCCGGTTCGGGGACCACAGGATTTCATCTCTGCTGTTTGCGGACGATGTTGTCCTGTTGGCTCCAACGAACCAGGACCTGCAGCATGCACTGGGACGGTTTGCAGCCGAGTGTGAAGCGGCTGGGATGAGAATCAGCACCTCCAAATCTGAGGCCATGGTGCTCGACCGGAAAAAGGTGCCCTGCCCTCTTCAGGTGGGTGGAGAGGTCCTTCCTCAAGTGGAGGAGTTCAAGTATCTCGGGGTCTTGTTCACGAGTGAGGGAAGGATGGAGCGTGAGATTGACAGGCGGATCGGTACAGCGTGCGCAGTGATGCGGTCGCTGTATCGGACTGTTGTGGTAAAGAGGGAGCTGAGCCGAAAGGCAAAGCTCTCGATTTACCGGTCAATCTTCGTTCCCTCCCTCACCTATGGTCATGAGCTTTGGGTAATGACCGAAAGAACGAGATCGCGGATACAAGCGGTCGAAATGAGCTTCCTCCGCAGAGTGGCTGGGCGCTCCCTTAGAGATAGGGTGAGGAGCTCAGTCACACGGGAGGAGCTCGGAGTAGAGCCGCTGCTTCTCCACGTCGAGAGGAACCAGTTGAGGTGGCTCGGGCATCTGTTCCGGATGCCTCCTGGACGCCTCCCTGGGGAGGTGTTCCGGGCACGTCCCACCGGGAGGAGGCCCCGCGGAAGACCTAGGACACGCTGGAGGGACTATGTCTCTCAGCTGGCCTGGGAACGCCTTGGGGTCCCCCCGGACGAGCTGGAGGAAGTGTGTGTGGATAGGGAAGTCTGGGCGTCTCTGCTTAGACTGCTGCCCCCGCGACCCGGCAACGGATAAAGCGGAAGAAAATGGATGGATGGATGGATGGGTCAAATGCCCTAAAAGCTATTGAAGAAAAACTGGTATTTTTAACCAAAAAAATAATTTTAAAAGCTTTTAAGAACAATTTCAAGGGCTGAGCCCCATAGCACTCAGGTAGTACTATTATTCAAAAGTGGTTTGGAGTAAATGGGACAAATGCCCTAAAAGCTATTGAAGAAAAACAGGTATTTTTAACCAAAAAAATCATTTAAAAATGTTAAAAGCTTTTAAGAACAATTTCAAGGGCTGAGCCCAATAGCCCTCATTTATTACTATTATTTAAAAGTGGTTTGGAGTAAATGGGTCAAATGCCCTAAAAGCTATTGAAGAAAAACTGGTATTTTTAGGCACAAAATAATTTTAAAAGCTTTTAAGAACAATTTCAAGGGCTGAGCCCCATAGCCCTCAGGTAGTACTATTATTTAAAAGTGGTTTGGAGTAAATGGGTCAAATGCCCTAAAAGCTATTGAAGAAAAACTGGTATTTTTAACCCAAAAATAATTTTAAAAGCTTTTAAGAAAAAATTCAAGGGCTGAGCCCCATAGCCTAGAGGTAGTACTAATTTTGTAAAGTGTTTTGGGGTGACTGGGTCAAAT